CGTTAGCTCGCTGCAGCGGTCCGCTCGAAAAAAGAGTCTGTCATCCAGCTGGAAGACTGTATCCGGCGTTTCGCTTGTAATCCATGTTTCTGTGAGGCAAAGCACTGCACACTTCTTCATCTCTTCTGAGGCGCCCGCTCTCAGACGAAGTAAATCCATCTTGTTGTCCAACGAGCGGACATTCGACAGAAAGAGAGACGGCATGGGGAGTTTGCTGGCTTTAGCGTTAGCTCGTAGCCTCACCATAACCCCCGCCCGGCATCCTCTCCTCTTAAGCCGGGAGCAGCGCTTCCTCTTCTGCCCGCTGGAACGCCTCTGCTGCAGCTTCCAGGTAGATGACTTTAAGATCTGCATTCTGCCGAGCGTAGCTTTGAGTTTGTTGCTGATTTCTGCTATATTTCGTGGCAAATCCGCTCCTATTCTCATCAGTTCGGTTCGGCTATAGTTCACACGCATAAATCGCGCGGAGTCAGGCACAGAGTCAATATCAAAACTTCTAAAAACTGGGATGGTACCGGGAGCCTGTGAAGCTGCAACTGCTCTGAGCGTGGCCATCTTGGATGAGACCCCTCTGTTCCCATCAAGTGTGAAAACTGGCTGGGAATCTGTCTTAAAGTTGGATTACAGGTTTTTGAAAGTGGAAATCTGAGGCCTCCTCCTCTGTTAAGAGATGGCTTTTCCCTTTTTACACAAATTTTACATAAATTACATAAACTTCTACAAGACAAGGACTTAATCAACAGGACCAACTTCACCCTGGACCAGATCTGCACCCTGTTGGATCTCTGCCTCTCCACCACTTATTTCAAGTTCAATGACAGTTTTTACAGACAGAAGCACAGCTGTGCCATGGGATCTCCAGTGTCACCTATTGTTGCCAATCTCTACATGGAGGAAGTGGAACAGAGAGCCCTAAACTCCTTTGAGGGAACAATGTCAAGCCATTGGTTCCGATATGTGGATGACACCTGGGTCAAAATACAAGCTAAGGAAATGGAAACGTTCACCAGACACATTAACTCGGTCGATAACGACATCAAGTTCACCAGAGAGGATGCAAATGACAACAAGCTGCCTTTTTTGGACTGTTAGATGGAAAGAGAGGACAGCCTTAACATTGAAGTTTACAGAAAACCTCCCACACAGACCAGTATCTTCTGTTTGACTCCCACCATCCACTGGAACACAAACTCTCTGTCATCAGAACTCTACAGCATCGGGCTGAACGCGTCCCCACAAAGACAGAAGGGAAGGAAAAGGAACAGAAACACGTTCAAGAAGCTCTTCAAACATGTGGATATCCTAACTGGACTTTTGTCAAGTCAGCGAGGAAATCTACAAAACGCACTAATAAACAGAAAAAGGAGAACAGCAGACGTAAAAACATTGTCATCCCTTATGTTGCTGGAGTATCAGAGAAATTCAGGAGGATTTTCAACAAACACAACATCCCAGTACATTTCAAACCCAGCAGGACTCTGAGACAGAGACTGGTCCACCCTAAGGACAAAACACCCATACACAAACAGAGTGGTGTAGTGTATGCGGTCCAGTGCAGCGAGGACTGTCCAGACCTCTACATTGGAGAAACTAACGGCCTCTTCACAGACGCATGGCTCAACACAGGAGAGCCAGCTCTTCAGGACAAGATTCAGCTGTTCACCTCCACCTCACAGATAAGGGACACTCTTTTGAGGACCAAAATGTGCACATTTTGGACAGAGAACACAGATGTTTTGAGATGGGGGGTGAAGGAAGCAATTTATGTAAAAAGAGAAAAACCATCTCGAGGAGGAGGCCTCAGATTTCCACTTTCAAAAACATATAATGCAACTTTAAGACTGATTCCCAGCCAGTTTTCACACCTGATGGGAACAGAGGGGCCTCGTCTGTGAATTAGAGTTACAAAGACCTTAAGAAACCCCCTACTGTTAAGGTGTTGAGGTGTGACTTGTCAAATCTACATATGTGTGTGTGTCTTATCTCACTCAGCCTTATAATCTGAATCTCTCACTCACTGCTCATTGAATTGAGAAAGCTCCTCGGATGAGGAGCGAAACGTCTTCTGTTACAAATGAAGTCCAGTTGTTTTTGTATTGAACGTTTTTTGAATTTACAGATTAGTAAGTGTAAGTGTGCAAACATACAATATGTTTTCTGACAAATAGAAATAACAACCCTAAAATATACAAAAATAAAGAAATACATAAATATTCTGAAACTAACTGAACAGCCTCTTTTGAAAAACGGATGAAATACATCGCAATGTAAACTCTACATCTCCGGGTGGGATGAGGGTTAAACATATATAGTTCTCAGAAATTTTATTTGATTTTTGCATCATGTCAAACTTGCAGCCCAAATCAAACCTTATGGATTTCATTCTTTGATTTAGAATAACTGCAGTTTCTGAGAACTCGTGAAGCTGCTTATGTGCATGAAAACACATCGACTCTTTTATTTTCTGCACAATTTGCTCACAATATAAAACTGGCTTTGTACAGAAGCACTATGATTTGTCAGATCAGGCCGATCCTGCAGTTTGTCATGTGACATGTGGATTCTGGACGATTATTGATCGCAGCCATGAAAGATTGTTTGTTAATAAACTATCTCACGAACCACTGGATGGATATTAATGAAACTCTCGGAAAGTAATGGTTGGATGTGCATCTACAACTGATTTTGTTTTAGTCAATCCACTTTAAGATGGTCACCACATCTAGTCGACCATAGTAAATCTCAGTATTTCAGCAAAGTTCACAGATCTTGTGCTCAAATCTGCTGTGGCGGTAGCTGAGAGAAACTCACACAATACATACTTGCTCCAAGTACAGCTCATTGTGTGAGATGTTTGCTTAATACTTTAGCATTAACTGGAGTCAACACTGTTTGTCTGTTAGCAAAATATCTAATGAACAACATGATGGATTGTAACGAAACGCTCAAAATGTGATTACTCGATGAACATCTACAGTTGATTAATTTTATGAGTCATCTTAATCCAACATGGCTGTCACAGCTGATTGAACTTAGCAAAGATAAACAAGGCTATTTTAGTCTATTTTTGTGGGTGCTCAAGCTCCCCTAAATTTTAACTTGGCAACCAAAATTAAGAAACTACCATTAGGATTTTGTAAAAAAAAAAAACAAAAAAAAAAACTCGTTTCTCAAACCTTAAATTCACCAAAATATTGAACAAATTTGGAATAAATGATGACACTTAAACAGGCCAGTAGAATCTATGATTTTTTATCCATTTTTTTGTTGCATTGAGTCAGATCCTCGACACCACCAATCCAGTAGGCTCAACAACAACCGACCAATCGGCGACCTCAATTTATCCTGAAGTAAAATGCCCCTTACCTGTGGGGTGTTGGATATATGATCGAAGCAGAGCGCAATCTTAGCTAGGACGTCTGTATTGTGCGCCGCAGTACAATTGCTGGCAATTGTCAAGGGTGGTGGGGGTGTACAGATATGGAGTGTGTTCTATTCACACAAGGAGAGCTGTTGGTCAGACTCCTTGCTGTGGCGTGCTCTCTAAAATAGTTATCGAATCAAATGTTTACATATGTAGGTAACCGTAAATGTTTAACAACCTATTAAAAGACACCGGAATGCAGGAAATGGCATCTACTTTATTGAAAAGTTTATGCGGGAGGACCCCAGACCCGGGCAGCACAGTGGCACAACTGGTAGAGCTGCTGCCTCTCAGCGAGCAGGTCGCTCTGGTTCAAATCCCGGTCCGGGGACATTTCTTGGTCGAGTTTGCATGTTCTGTCCGTGCATGCATGTTTTTTTTTTTTTTTTTTTTTTTTCAGGTATTCCAGTTTCCTCCCACAGCCCAAAAACATGCATGTTAGGCTGATTGGTAACTCTAAATTGTTCCTAGGTGTGAGTGAGAGAGTGAATGGTTGTTTGTCTCATTTGTTTCTATGTGTCCCTGCCTCTCGCACAATGATGGCTGGACATGGGCACCAGTGACCCCCATGACACCACTAGGAAGAAGTGGGTAAAAGATAATGGATGGACCCACAGACTCCCACCAGTGTGTCCCCCCCCCCCCCCCCCCCACCACAACTGCTTCTGATGCCAATGGTTACCGTGTCCTTCAAGCCAAGAGCTATTGTCAATATTGGGGGCTGAGCCCCCCTAAAGGTCAGATTCTAGAATCGCCCCTGGCTATCAATTTGACAAATTTTCATCTAAAAATCTTTGAGGTGGCAGCTGAACATTCCCTCCAACTCATACCTGAAAGTCTAATACATTGCACAACTTTAAAAATGTTGGGATGCTGGGGTGATAAGCATTCTTGCAATGAATGCAGTTTGTGCATTTTTTTGAACTATCAGCATCAAACTCAGATTCATAAGACCAAATGTTCAGATGTGGAAAATCCCAGTGACAAAACGAACCCAGTCCACCTTGGGGAACAAGATGTCTGCAAGCAGGTAAAACATTTACCACACAGTGTGTGGGAGAATTATTTAAAGAGTTCAGTCTTTTAAGTTGTTTTCCATTCAGGTTAGCCACAGTTCTCTTCATCTGCACACATTTCCTCCATAAAGAGGACTAACATGAATGATTCGCTAAAATAATAATGAATGGGCTTCTGGGAGCACTGGAAGCCATGAATGAACAGCGCGCGCTCGGATAAATGAAGAGGAAAAGTAGGACGCAGAGGCTCGCGCGCGCAGCTGCTTTTCCGCGGTGCGGCCGCCAAGCGACAGTAGTGTTTCTCCGTGGGAGTGAAGTCGCTCGAGCTCTTCGGTCACATGCTGGAAAGGTTTCAAGCGGAGCTCCATCACCCGACGAAAAGTGAATGGCACGCGCGCGAAGCAGCGACTCGGAGGCGAGCTGAGAGCAGGCGGCTCCCCGCGCGCAGCGCAGAGGATGACACCAGCGGGGGCTCGTACTTTTCTTTCCGGGACTCGTGCACGAGGAGGAGTCCGCGTGCAGGGTTGAATTTGGGCTCAGCTGGGAGAAGTTCGGCAGCGATGGTGATAAATGGGTCTCACCTGAACAACAACTCCTCGGCAGAGCGCCCGCCGTGGGTCACCACAACTTTGGGCTGTTTCCTCATCTTCACCATCGTGGTGGACATCCTGGGCAACCTGCTGGTTATCTTCTCCGTGTATCGGAACAAGAAGCTCCGGAACGCAGGTGAGCGCAGCGGAACAAACAAACAAACAAACAAACAAACAAACAAAACAACCGACAACAGTTTAAAAGTAGCTAGGTGTGTGCGCGCGCGGTTAAAGCAAAAAACAAAAAAACAAAACCTGTGACATAATGTTATGATTAGACCCACCAAACTGACTTTTATCAGCTATAAATCACGTGTTTAAGGAAATATTTAACTCACCAGACGGTTAAAAACGACTAAAACCTTTTTTGTTGTTGTTTGTTTTTGTTTTTGTCGCGGTGATTAAACAAATGAAGCTAGCAGGAAGAGTCGCGTGCTCTTAAAATTAAAAAGCTAAGTTTGCAGCCACACTCTGTATTAATTAACTTCATTAAACTAGGAACAACCATCTTTGTTTATTTATTTATTTATTTATTTCTGGAGGCAGAATGCTTCCTAAATGAACACCAACTTTCTGAAGTCTGCTTTTGAAAGTGATCAAATTTGACTGAGCTTCAATGACCCCCCCCCCCCCCCAGCCCAGTAAACAAACAAATAAACAAATAATTACCCCAACCTTCTGGCACTGGCATTATGAAATAATAAGAGAAAAATTCTATTCAGTTTATTTATATGTCGCCAAGTCAAAACAGCAGGGCACTGCACAGAAATATACATCAAGATCATTTAATAACAATATTTATCCAAGGAGCCTCATTTATACAAATATAAACGTTTTAGTCAGCTACAGTTGCTTTTTTTGGTCGTATGGAATCACCTAAATTTGAGAAACAAATATGGAACTAGTCCAGAATCCGTCCAGATGACTTGACTTAAGTGTGTGAATTATATAATTACTTTGTAGTTTTAAAACCAGCAACTACATCAGATTAAATCTACTAAATCCATCTTCAGTTAAAGTGTTCACACCTTGGACAGCTTTTGCACAAATCAGATTGACATGAATCATCACAGAACGTTGAAAATGATGGTTGTTCCCAGTCAGCTGTGTTTAAAAATCTGGAAAAAGTCCAAACAAAATGGGAAGATTGATGTATGAAGTGGCCTAAAATAAATGAGATACAGGCAATTCCAACGCAAACCATCATCATCATCATCATTCAAATGGCAAAGAACAAGGTGGCAGTGCTGAAGAGAAGCAGACTGGGTGAAGTTGTCCGGTTAGATAAAGTTGCGAGGAGATGGCAGTTATTACATCTTCAATAAATGCCCTGAAGTTTTGTGCATATAATGTTGGTGGCGTGGCCTGCAAATAGTAGCGTATAGTAGTAGTAAATAAAGTTGAACAGCTCTGGTGGAAACTGAAGAGAATAGTCAGTGACAAGGCTCCAACCTGCAAAACAGATCTGGCACCAGCAATAAGACATTTGGAGGAAGACGCCTCAGAGAATTCAAGCTGTCATAAAAGCAAGAGGTGGTGCAACAAAGTTGTAACGGTGCAGTGTTTTGGCTCATGATACTACAAGTTTTCTCCTCTATTCAATCTTTTAAAACGGCAAGTTTGACTGCACAACAATTATATTTCTATATTTTTTTTAATAGTTTCATAACGCCAGAAGATTGGAATCGGAAACATAAAAATTTTGTCTCATGAAAGTGACTTATTTATATATTTCTGTACAAAATTAAACAGTTGAATGCCACCCAAGAGAGGTGATTCGATCATTTTTGTGTCAGGTGTTGTACAGTTCTAATTGAGGTGTTTTATGTTGTGTATTTTATCTGTTGAATACACATTTATGTGTCATAATTGATGGGTCGGTGTATTCAAACAGTTTGCCTTGCTTTGTGGAGGTGGTAAAACAATGATGGGTTAATGGTCTGGATCTCCTGCTCACTGGCAGCAGCTCATATCAGGGTGTTCATTATTTGAGAAGGGGGGGCTGTTGAAGTTTGTGTTGCTGAATGTGCTCCTGATCTTATGGTTCTATAACAGATTTCAATCAATGTGCACGGAAAACTAGAAACGATAAGCTCATGTCTTTCTCAAACGCCACGCAAATATCGTTCAAAACGTCGCTGAATGAGAAAATGCTAGAGAACTTTATCCTGATTGATGATAGTTCCCCATTTCAATCAAACGGCATGCTTTTTCAAAGGGAACTTAGCCCAAAAAAAAAAAAAAAGTTTATTAAAACAAGTTTATTTAGATTGAAAAAGCATTAAAAGAACCATGAATTTA